ATATTCCCAAATATTTGCAGGCTTTCATTGGTTCCATCCATTCTGACAAATCCGTGGTTCCCCAGGTTTGACTGATAGGTACTTTCCCTGGTCACCCCAGCTTCACTGCACATGTGTCTGTCCTTTGTTGGGCCCCTCCCCCCAGTGATCTGCAGAGAATGGGTAGGTGGTTCCCTGGGGGTTGCAGTTGCAGGTCCTGGTGAAGCAGCCCAAATGACCTATCTGTAATGTCTGGCCTTCTCTTTGTTCCTTTTCTGTTGTTAATAGCTAGCTAATTACAACAATATCTGGTGGGATACACACACACACACACACACACACACACACACACACACATGCAAGCAGGCCAGTGGCAGCACCGTTATGCTGGGAGAGGGGTCTTTTATACATTGATGATCACAGCAGCTCAGGAGAGTGTAGGATTGCTTGTAGGGATTATATTCTGCATTGTTTTCCTACTTTTTCTTGAAGGCTGACTTTTTTTTTAGAGACAGCATATTTAGAAATGAGAAGGGTAGGGACAGTAATGAGGCATTTTTCTTATATGTTTAGAAAAATATGGCATCAAAGGAGAAAAAATAGATCTGTTGTTAGGAGGTATGTGGAAAAACAACAGTAGTGTTGGTGCTTGTGGCCTTACAAATGAGTAATGATTGTGCAGGATGGAGGAAAGGAAAGCAGAGAAAGGTGAATGCGGCTGAGGATAACGAGCTTCTACAGAAGCTGTCTGTGGCCCCCAGGAAAAGGGTTCTGTGCCTTTTAAGTGTCTGGTGAAAGCATGGCCCTTAATAAAATCACTGAAAAATTCTATGCTCTATGAAATATGAAATACAAACCAATATAGTCTTACTGCTCCTGTTTACCTAAAGATAAGGCTTCTGGGTTTTTTTCTATTGATAATTTAAATAAAAATACAAATTTATTTCTAAGAGTCTGAACAATTTATCATTATCAAACTAGAACTGATCCCTGTTTAAAATTTTTAATTGATTTTTAGGTTATGGCACAAATATGTTTTCTTATAGATTTGTGAAACAAAAACGTGGGTATATAAAATTGATCCACAAAATTAATCATAGGAGATTTCTGGGGTCCGGGAGGTTGGCACAAAACCCTATCAGAGACAGCATCTCTTGATCTGTATTTTAGTTCTGTATTTCTTTCTGATCTCAGAGAGAAAGCCTGTGTTGAGTTGCTAAAAATATTCCTTCTTTCAGTATCTTCATACTTAGTTGTTGAAATATGTGGATCCTATATAATAAACTGCTAATATGCAAATCGATCAAATGGTGGAATGGCTGGTCGCTATCATGTGCACTGACACCAGGGGGCAGACACTCACTGCAGGAGCTGCCCCTGATGGTCAGCGGATTCCTACAGGGTGAGCTCTGCTCAGCCAGAAGCCCTGAGCTGGGCTCACAGCTGGTTAGCACAGTGGTGATGGCAGGAGCCTCTCCAGCTTCTGTGACAGCACTAAAGATGTCTGACTGTTGGCTCCAAAACTGCGAGAGGGCACAGGCCGGGCTGAGGGACCATGCCCTCCCTCGAGTGCATGGGTTTTGTGCACTGGGTCTCTAGTAAAAATAAAAGCTTTGAAAATTAATTTTGCTCACCAGTCATACCATTCCTAGGGATCTCTTACCTCATAATAGACAAACATGTAAATTGACTGTACCTCCACTACACCTACAATCAGAAGTGAGTATGCAAATTAACCTGACAGAGATGGAAGGTTAATTTGCATATGCAGGCGCAGATGCCTGCTGTGAGAGGGAGGGCTGGGGTGGAGGGAGCTGCAGGAGTGATGCTCTGGCTGAGAGCAGGTCCTTGCCAGCTTCCAGGAGCGAAGGCAGGGGAAGGAAGGCCTATTCTTGCATGAATTTTTTGCAGCGGGCCTCTAGCTTACTAAATAAGAAAGCATAGAATCAGAAAGGTTTAGTCCTGAAAATGTTTGTTTTATTTTTAAATAAAATCATGGATACGAATATAAATATCTAAGAGCTAATGAATGAATAGGCAAATTATGATGCATCAGCTAAATATGTCATAATTACTGTGTCTCCATTAAATAAAAATCCTGATAAAACTAAAGCAAAAAGTGTATTTACAATATGATTATAAACATGCAGAAGATCCACATGCCTAGGGACAAAGACTGGAGGGAGATGAGTCTAGAATGTTTAGCGTGTGATCGGTGTTATACTTCCCTGTTAAAGCTATTTGACATAAATCTAGTTTTTAAAAATGGATATGGATATGGCTGTGAGTTGGGAGTTTTGCCAAGGAATAGTTTGGAGCATGAGTTGGTGGAGTGACAGTTCCGTTGTGTCTAGGGGAAGTGCAGGCCTCTGCCCCCGCCTACCATGCCCACAGGTCAGCTGCTCTCCACCTCAGCACCAGTCTAGTGGCAGGCACATGCCAGCACCCATCGGAGCCCCGGATGATGTCGAGGACATGCCAAGAAAGAGGGCTGCTTTGGCTCCACTTCCCTAAATATCCCTACTCAGGGTCCCTGAATGTCTAGTAACTGAGTCTGCTTAAATGGTTTCATGTTTACTATTTGAGGTCAGCCCAGTTCTTAAGATATCACAGCAAAACTTACTCCTGAGATAATGTGTTAATTATCACATCCTTACTTCATCCAGACTAGTCCCCCTCATCAAACTTATTTTCTGCTTCAGAACCATTGAGAGCAGAGTCAGCTGGACTCTTCTCTGTAGTTGTCCTTAGAGTTGCAGACATAGGGATCTCCCATTCGCTGGCTGAGACCTTTGCCACCTCACATGCCTTGTATCTCAAATGGAGCTTGCCTGCCAGGTTGTCACACACCTTCTCCTCACCGGCTCCTGTGTTCAGCATTAGCAGAGTGTCTCTCTGCCGCTCACTTAGGAAGTCCCGGCACTGTCTCCAGCCCATCCTCCAGCCATCTGTCTGCCTCTGCTCTGTCTCACACTCGTGCTTTGCTCCAGTTACTATCCGTAGGTCCCTAGTTTTGGGCTTTGGGCCCTGTCTATGCAGACTTGTTCAGAACTTGAGTCTGACTCCCAGATCCCCAGGTAGCAGATGTGTACCTCTTAGTCGGGAGCCTTCTGCCATCAGGTTCCAACGTGCCTTCCACATAGCACCAACTCTTCTCTTTCCTGTAAAATTCTGGAAGCTGTGCTTCTGGATTGGTTACATTAAAAACAACTATTCTCTGTTGCTGTACACAAAATAGCAAGGGCAGGGTGTTACACTTTGAGTAGGAATTTGAGCACCAAATTGTCTTATTTGACACCGTGCATCCTGTTGGGGAGATGAGTTCATTTTAAAACGTGCTTGCTTAAAGCATCATTAATTGTTAAAATTAAAAAGCACAAAACAAAGAAAGCCCTATCTATGGCAGTTTCCATGTGCACATGGCTAAAATACCATTTTGGAGACAGAGACAGAAAGATGAGGGGTGGAATGTTGGGGTGGGGGGCGGTACAGCCTGACATTAACCAAGGAAGAGGAGAACAATTGGTGGTTGTTAGGGTTTCTGTTTCCTTTATGTTCTTTATTCTCAAGTTACAACACCCGCTCACCCAATTCCTTTTTTTAAAAAAAAAAGTGATATTTAGTGAGGTTTGTTTGTAGGCCTCTGCCAAGAATTTACCCAAGCTTCTTTCTTCCTGGTCAACCAACAAAAGGCACAGAATTGTGTTTTGAGTTTTTGAGAATCCTGACTATTATAACTATCCAATAAAGGCATCACTAAGAATTGGATTTTCACATTCTAAAAATAAAATCATAAAAGTAAATGACTTCTGATTAATATATCAACCCTACAGAAATCTTTATTTGTTCTATCCAAGTATTTAGTAGTTCTGCCAAGAAAACAGAAGGTTTTTTTGGTTTAAAAAAAATGGAGTGTTTTTTTAATAATGTTATAAGATATCCAGCATGTCCCACTTCATTACAATTAACTTTCTATCATTACAGTATTGTAGATGTAATATATTGGGCAGTCAGAGCTTTTAAATGTTTGAAAAATAAAATAGAATAGTCGTAATTTAGGAATAATTCATTTAAAATACATGTTTCCTCCACATATTTGAACAATCTGTCCAAAACACAGCTCATTCATGTGGGACTTTGCCTGTGCAACTCTGAGTGGGAATCAGTACTTTCTTTGTTCGTCACTATGGAAACAAGTCAGCCTATCCTGAATGGCTGTTAAATCATGCAGAGTGATGCTCTTATCTCAGTGTAACTTCATCAGGAAGCAAGCTGGCACTGACATCTCCTGGCCTCCAGCTCTCCTCCTGGGGGCCCAGCGCCATGCAGGACCCACCCTGGCGGCTCTCGGCCATGCCCTTCCTCAGCTCCTTCTTACAGGGCCGCCGGCACTCAGCCTCAGACACGGTACTGAGGCTGCCGCAGGGGCAGCACGGCTCCGGCTCCGGCTCCGGCTCCGCCACCAAGATGCTTTCCTCATCCTCTCTCCAGGTGATGCTAGCTGTGTCCTCTCTCAGCTGCGCCAAGAGAAATCCAACTTGCCCCGAGAGAAAAAGTAAAACTCCTTTTCTTCTTAAAGATTGCCTCAACTTTGAGTTTGAATTTAAGGAATGTGAAAAGGCTGTGCTGTGCTTATACCTTTTTAGTTTTTGACCATTCTGCATTATTCTTTTTACTGTCTGTTATGCTTAGAGTTTCAGTGGATATATAATAGATGAAATGATTGACTGTTGTGTGTTTTTGTTTAAAAATGTAGTTCTGAACAAATCTCACGCCCTTATAAAAGATCTTCTTTTATCGTTTCTTTTCTGTGACCAGTATGACGTGGAGATTGTGTAAAAAGAGTTTCCTACATTAAGAAAGAGTGAATTTACATGCAATGGATATGGATTTAATTTTGACACAATAAAGGGTGGTTAACACACGCCCCTCATCTGCGACCTGATATAAAATGGAAGCTGTTTCCCAGTCACTGTTCTGTTGGGAGAGTGGAATTTCAAGTCCCTTCCTGCATGTTCTAGGCAATTCAGGACGTCCAACACCGAAGTATACAAAAGTCGGAGAGCGTTTACGGCATGTCATTCCTGGACACATGGCCTGCTCCATGGCCTGTGGGGGCAAAGCTTGCAAATATGAAAATCCAGCCCGCTGGAGTGAGCAGGAGCAGGCCATTAAAGGGATCTACTCATCCTGGTGAGTGATTCTGTCAGTCTGTTGTAGCTCTTCCCTGCAGCTAAGTTGAAAAAGGTAGTGAAGATGTGTGTGGTGCCGGATGGCAGGAGGCCATGGAAGAGGATGTATGGGGTTTTGAAGTCAGAACCTTGCCTCCCATCTCTTGCTGCCTGACAAACTGTGGCCTACTTACATAGGCACTCTGAACCTCAGTTTTCTCATATGTGAAATGGAAATAATATAACCAATGCCATTTTTTAATTAAGTGAAATAATGTATGTAAATGTTTTAAATGATAATAAGATAGCTCTTAAATTTCAGAAATTGCTAGAAATAATAACAATGCTGCCCTAACCCGTTTGGCTCAGTGGATAGAACATCTGCCTGCAGACTGAAAGGTCCCAGGTTTGATTCCGATCCAGGGCATGTACCTTGGTTGCGGGCGCATCCCCAGTAGGAAATGTGCAGGAGGTAGCTGATCGATATTTCATTTCTCTCTCATCGATGTTTCTAACTCTCTATCGCTCTCCCTTCCTCTCGGTAAAAAATCAATATATATTTTTTAAATGCTGAGCTATAAATTTAAAAAATTATGAGGTAGTTTCCAATTTCATACAGGTAAGTTTTAACCTTGCTTTAATTTTGGTCCTGTTCTCTGTGTAAAAGGACCCACTTTCATACAAATACATCTTTAGTCTGCCTCAATAGGAGTGGTACAAGTTGTCAGTTCAGTGGACAGTATGAGATGCTTGCATTTTTTATGGTTTATTAATAGTAAACTGTCAAGTAGATCTTTTCAATGTAGTGATACCTGAAAAGTTTTGATAATCAGACCAAATCCTATTTGAAAATCACTGTTTAAAGAATTCTAGTGATGAATCAATTTATATAGCAAGAATCCATTTACAGATTAGATAATTTGTTAACCAGAGTTTCTAACTTACAACCCACACTTCTTCATACTGGATTTGCCGGGGACATGGATTTGGATAATGTTGGGGGTCCAGTGTCACTGTGCTGCACAGATCATATTCTAGTCTGTCTCTGTCTTTCTTAAAGAATCTTGTAGGAAAGCCAACACTATTCCTGCTGTAAATTTCTAATAATGCAGCTTAAGGCCACATTAATATTTTTTATTTGTTTTTTACTGAACCACCTGAATCTTGTTTTGCCTCTAATGATATTACGTTACATCTTATACCAAATACTGTTAAATCTTGGATCTTCTGATGTTTTGGGGGGCCATGTTGAATTTCAGGCATTACCCCAAGGCAAGGAGTTGGTATCTTTTGGATCTTGCCCTTTTTATTTAATGTTACTCCCCTCGGGTTCGTGTGACCCCCATCTTTCGGTAGACTGCATGATGTACCTTTCACGCAGCCATTTGTTAGGTCTCTGCCCATTTGTGTAGTCAATAAACATGCATTTGGCTGCAGGCCAGGCACTGTGCTAGACACTTTCAAATTGTTACCTCTTCTTCATCAAACTATTATAAAGTAGGCATTGTTAAAGAGATGAAGTATTTGAGGTCCAGAGGAACTAAGTAATGTGCTACACAGCGTTTAGAAAGTAGAAAAGCCAGCATTTGAAACCAGGCCCAACTGATTCCAAAGATTTTATTTTTTGCTAAATTGCAATAACATCACTTATTAATAACCACATGTGGGCATTTTTGCTGAAGATTTTATATCTGTATCATGTTGAATTTTCACACCAGCCATCCAAAGCAGGTATTTTTATTCTTTTTAACACATAGATAGCTAAACTGCAGATAGCTCAAGAACTAAAAATGCCTCCTGCTTGTCCTCCTCATGGTTAAAAACCTTTAGATAGCCGAGGCCGGTTTGGCTCAGTGGATAGAGCATCAGTCTGTGGTCTGAGGGGTCCCGGATTCGATTCTGGTCAAGGGCATGTGCATTGGTTGCGGGCACGTCCCCGGTGAGAGGTGTGCAGGAGGCGGCTGGTCAATGCTTCTCTCTAATTGATGTTTCTAGCTTTCTGTCCCTCTCCCTTCCTCTCTGTAAAAAATCAATAAAATATATTTTTAAAAAAAAATTTGGCTGGTTCGGCTCAGTGGATAGAGCATCAGCCTGCAGACTGAAAGGTCCCGGGTTCGATTCCGGTAAAGGGCATGTACCTTGGTTGCGGGCACATCCTGTAGATCCTATAGAAATAATGGTAACATTTGATTAGTGATGGCATTAACATTAACAGTATGTAACTTGGTGCAAGAGGCAGCTGATCGATGATCCTCTCTCATCGATGTTTCTAATTCTCTATCCCTCTCTCATCCACTCTGTAAAAAATCAATAAAATATATTTTTAAAAAAACTTTGGGTAACGAACCTAGACTGTCACCGTTCTGCCAGTTAAGGTTTCTTCATCATGTCCACTAGAATCTCTTGAGTGTCCTTGAAAATGTTTTATTGTAGTACATACTTAGGTCCTGGAATTTTCTCAGAGATTTAAGCAGCTAGATAGGGTGGTTTTTTGTTTTTTGTTTTTTTTTTTAGGGCCCTCATCATAATGCAAATTTTAGGCCAAATTTGGATAAGGAGATTTTTATCTTACAGAGTTATTGAAATCCTAGAAAAAGTAGTAGCTTGACACCCTGCTCTCAATCCATGGAGCTGGAATGTTCTAGGTTTTGTGATTTCACCAGTCCTTTCTCCCGTGTGTAGGATCACTGATAACATCCTGGCCATGGCTCGCCCGTCCACTGAGCTCCTTGAGAAATACTGCATCATCGAGCAGTTTCGTAGGTAAAATGTCATATTGTTCATACAGCTCAATAAGCCAGCTCATGTTTTCTCTTCCATTGCTTTTGACATCGATGGGTTTTCATTTTAACAATAGGTATAAAGAACGTATTTCACATAAGATATTTGAGAATAATTCGTAATGTTTATTAATGCTAAAAGTGATTACTTTTTTTTTATGCTAGCTAATTCCCAGTATGACTCATTTCTTTTCTTTTTCTTTTAAGCCATGGCTTAAAAACAGTCATTAACCTGCAGCGGCCTGGTGAACATGCCAGCTGTGGGAATCCTTTGGAACAAGAAAGTGGTTTCACATACCTTCCTGAGGCTTTCATGGAGGCTGGCAGTAAGTCCTTCCACTCTCTGCCCATGAGTTACCAAGACAGTACTCAGAGACTTTGGTCTCTCTGCTCTTAGCTTTAGAAGGTGATGGAAATAACTGGGTAGTAGTAGGGCTCCTAAACATAAAGAGGAGCTCACTTTAACTTTAAAGAAGGCTACCATTCTTCTGTGGTATTGCTGTTGAAAGAGCAGGCTTTCTTTTTCTCCGAAAGGGACCTTCGGAGGAGACCCTGTAGAAATAATGGTAACATTTGATTAGTGATTGCATTAACATTAACAGTATGTCAGACCTGTCATCTCATTTTATCCTTAAAGCAGTCAAGTAACATAGTTGTTTCTGCTTCACATGAGGCCACACAGGCTTAGCAAGTTCTGCTTAGCCCACAGTCATACAGCCTAACTGTGTTAGCAGGATTGGGACTCGGGACTTGCTGATGCTTTTGCTGCTGCACAGGAGTTCTGCCCCTGGGTAGGATGCTAGGATTCCTTATGTGATACTTTCAGAAGCTCCTTAGCCACAAGAATGTAGGGGTGGGATCCCACCAGGTTAGAAAGGATCAACCTGTGCGATTTTGGAACTTTTTTAAAGAAGCTTTTACCTAGTTCTTTTTTTCCCACTGGGAAAAAAATCTGTACTATCTTCTGCCGTTCATCGGTCATTTAGACTATGCTTCACCAGGATTATGCTTTCTCTCCAGAGCTGAGGTATCTGAATGTAGATTACTTACTTTATTAACTTGAAATTCTGCTTTTCCATAACTCTTCCTGGCTGAGTTTAGCAGGAAATGCCTTAAGTAACAGGGAATGTGCTTTGTAAGAAATGTTAACAATAAACTTACTGGAAATGTAAAAAGCTTATTATTCTAAGCCTACACATCTAGTGAGATATGCGTGCTCTACAGCTTCTACTCTCCATGAATTCACTCCTTTCTTCACATATTCTTGCAAGTATTTTCCTGTATGTTGATGTTTTATTCCTGTTCTCTTTTTCATTGCACAGTTTATTTCTACAATTTCGGATGGAAGGATTATGGTGTAGCGTCGCTTACCACCATCTTAGATATGGTGAAGGTGATGACATTTGCCTTACAAGAAGGAAAAGTAGCTATCCATTGTCACGCAGGGCTTGGTCGAACAGGTAAATTCTAGAAGGTTGTTTTATTGCCTTGTAGTATATTTAAATATATAAAGAATAACATTTTTGCCAAGACCGGTTTGGCTCAGTGGATAGAGCGTCTGCCTGGAGACTGAAAGGTCCCAGGTTCAATTCTGGTCAAGGGCATGTACCTTGGTTGCGGGCACATCCCCGGTAGGGAGTGTGCAAGAGGCAGCTGATCAATGATTCTCTCTCATCGATGTTTCTAACACTCTGTCCCTCTCTCTTCCTCTCTGTAAAAAATCAATAAAATACATTTTAAATAAAAGAATAACATTTTTAAATATCTAATGTCTTTAAAAATAGTTATGAAGCCGAAACCGGTTTGGCTCAATGGATAGAGCGTCGGCTTGGGGACTGAAGGGTCCCAGGTTGGATTCCGGTCAAGGACATGTACCTTGGTTGCGGGCATATCCGCAGTAAGGGGTGTACAGGAGTCAGCTGATCGATGACTCTCTCGTCGATTTTCTAACTCTCTATCTCTCTCCCTTCCTCTCTGTACAAAATTAATAAAATATATATTTTTTTAAAATAGTAACGAAAATAGCAAGCATTGTTTTACCTACTGTTATAAGCATTTTACACTTACTGTCTTATTAATAAATCTTTAGCAACATAGTGAGTTTTAAAAAAGACTAAGAAATTTGCTATATCAAGTAAGTGAAGGGCCAAGATTTAAATTCATGATTGTCAGAATTTTTTTTTGTGAAGGAGAGTCTATCCATGCCTAGAATTCTATATAAAAATATTTTACTTAATCAGACAGCAGAATCTCAGTATCATGCTGATACTGGGGCAGAAATAAAGACCGATGGGTTGGAATCTTCATTATCATTTGGTTCACCTACATACCTGAGCTTGACTCCAGCCATAGTGTACCTGTGTACCTGCCATGGAGTCTCCCACCTGCTCAGGAGCTTCGTTAGGGGAATGCATAGTGTTTTATACTGTTAAGGTTGTTTTCCTTAATGTAAAGTGCTTATAGAAATATAGAATTAATTTCATAGTATGGAAAAAAACACATATTCATGTAGAGACAAGTCTACAAGAAGGATTGCCTGGAAAAAATAGATTGTGAATGTGAATACTTCCCAAATTTAAAAATGTACAGGTTGGTAGAGTGCCAGGCAGGAATGTTCCAGCAACTGATGGCAAAGGCACGAGTGGGAACTTCCAAGTGCAGTATATGGATCCATTGGATGGAAATTTTCAGAAACTGTTAAATGGGAAATAGAAGCAGGATTTTATTTCTCCCATGTTAGAGTTGTGCATAAGAGGATAAACATGCTAGATCACCTCCCCATTCTCCCCAATTACACAGTCATTCCCCTATTTCACTCAGTGATTCTGCCCAACTCCACGCTAATTCACCTTACTCCACACTTAGTTATCCCTCACTTGCTCAGCCATTACTCCATCATCCCCCCTTACTCCACACTTAGTCACCCCCACTCATTCCACAATTACTCCGTCATTCCTCTTACTCCACACTTAGTCACCCCCATTCACTCCACAATTACTCCGTCATCCCCCTTAGTCACCCCATTCACTCCACAATTACTCCGTCATCCCCCTTACTCTACCCTTACTCACCCCCACTTATTCCACAATTACTCCATCATCCCCCTTACTCCACCCTTAGTCACCCCATTCACTCCACAATTACTCCGTCATCCCCCTTACTCACCCCCACTTATTCCACAATTACTCCATCATCCCCCTTACTCCACCCTTACTCACCCCCACTTACTCCACAATTACTCCATCATCCCCCTTACTCCACACTTAGTCAACCCCACTCACTCTGCCATTACTTCATCATCTCCCCTTACTCCACACTTAGCTTCACTGTGACAGTTTCTGTGCTTTCTCTGGGTACAGTGGTCACTGAGTGTTCTCAGACAAGACAAGGTGTACCATATAGACAAATAAATATATAAACATCTTTGCAAAAATCTACTAAGTTATATTATCCTTAAAACGTTTCCCTATTGATATGGTTTTTAACACATATAAAATTTAAATCATCTGAGAGTGATAAATAAAAAAATTTATAAGCTTTCTCATCCAGTTTTTTCTTTTTCACTACGTAGGTGTTTTAATAGCTTGTTACTTAGTTTTTGCAACAAGAATGACTGCTGATCAAGCCATTATATTTGTTCGGGCAAAGCGTCCGAATTCCATTCAGACTCGAGGACAATTACTGTGTGTGAGGGAATTTACTCAGTTTCTGATTCCTCTTCGCAACATATTTTCTTGCTGTGACCCCAAAGCACATGCTGTCACCTTAACACAGTATCTGACTCGCCAGCGGCATCTACTGCATGGTTATGAGGCGCGACTTCTGAAACACGTGCCAAAAATTATCCACCTTGTGTGCAAATTGCTGCTCGACTTAGCTGAGAACAGGCCCGTAGTGACAGAAGTGGTAGAAGCACCTGGCCTCTTGGTGGAAATTGAGAAGACCGTGTCTGAGGTGGTCACACAGCAGCTGGACAGAGAGTTACTGAGGCACGACAATGAGGCATCGGACTCCTTCACTCCCACTGCAGTGGCAGTGGATGTTGAGACTCAGGATAGGATTTTTTCCAGTGAGCAAGAGTTTGACCCTCTTTGGAAGCGACGGAATGTAGAGTGCCTTCAGCCCCTGACTCACCTGAAAAGGCAGCTCAGCTACAGCGACTCAGATTTACAGAGAGCTGAGTCACTTTTGGAGCAGTCAGGGACCCCGTGGACAGCATCTGCTCAGATCTCATTCTACATCCCTAAGCAACGGACGCCTATAGGCCACTGTGACACCCCACAGACTCCACAGCTTGATTTCAATAAGGACATGCTGGTCCACAATACATTTTCTTTCTGGAATCCAATTAAATTTGGAGGCTTAGAACGACTCAAAGATGACGGGTCACCAATTTCCCAAAGGAAGAATATTCCAAAGGAAATACAGCGGAGTAAAACCTTCTCTTCAGGTTCGTCCAATCCTGGGGAACCAGTTACACCCAATGTTGCAGATATCCTCAAGAAACCACACTGTTCTCCCCAGCAAGGGGCCCCGTGTCAGTGTGAAGTTCATGGTGGCTACAGCAGTCCTGTGTACTATGGCTCCAGCCCCAAAGCACAGTCCTCGGTTGGACCTAAAACACAGAGCAGCAAAGATGTGCCTGAAGTCACTCCACACACTGCTCTACAGTCTGAATTGAGTGTTGAAGAAAGGAGAATACTAGCGGCCAAAGCCCTGGCAAACTTAAGTGAGTTTGCAGAAAAGGAGGAAGTGAAAAGGAAGGTAGAAATGTGGCAGGTATTTGCATTTCATTTCATTATATGTGCTTGGGAAATACTTATGTCAGAGTAAAAACATCATATATTTTCCAGGACTTACTTGTAGAATTATGAAGACATGTTTGTTATAATACTTTGAAACTTCAGGTTTCTGAGCTGTAATAGGAGCCTGATGTCATAGAAATGACAGTTTTCAGTCTCCTGTGAAAGAAGCACTTAGCACTTAGCAGGGTGCCTGATTGAGAGAGGCATGGATAGGACTGATATTAGTAGTTTCCTTCTTTCTTGCTGGGTTTGTGGGATAGACTGACAGACAGATGTACTAGCCATAGCAGACAGCTGTAAACTGACCTGAAAGATCTCGAGGCCAACCCAATTCCTAGCAGGGAGCCACATTTTGAGAACACTGACACATAAATGAGGTCAGAGCAAATTCTTTTCCAAAGGTCATCCACACAAGTGTTGAGTGAGGTCTGGAGGGAGCCTGACAGATGCTGTCTGCTCAGCATTCCATCTGCAGACTCCTCAGTCCTGCCCCAGTGAGGCACCTGTCAGATCTGAAAAAGCAAATGAAGCAACTCCAGAGAACCTGTGTGCCGTTGGTTTCTGAGGTTAGGTCTTTTGGGTCCCTTTCTTAGCTTCTACTTGAAATTTAAAATGTTAACCCTTTTTTGAGTAGTACATTCACTAAGAAGACAGTCTTAAATCAACCACACTCTCTGCCCTGAATGAGCAGCTGATCTAGAGGAAAGGCAGGCCTTATAAACTTAATTTTCAGAAACAAACTGCCCAGTGTGGGGCTGACCCAGGGAGGCCTGGCTTAATGAAATTTTGACTTGTTAGCCCATAATCAACTACAAGTTATTTGTATGGCTGCTGTTCTATATCTGCCATTTAATAAACAAGGTGTGTACACTTTCTAGGAGGGCCAGAACCTTCCTGCTACAGAGGAAGGAACATAGACATGGAGCCTCATGTCAGCTTATAACTGTAACGGGAGAAGAGCACCTCACACACTTTCTCCATCAGAATTGGTTTGCTTAGTAAAGAGTTAAATGTGGTGGGGGTTTTTTCAACATGCAGTGGGCAGGTCTTGCTGCTGTGTTGCTGTGTGTCATGGTAGCTAACAGCAGACCCTTTAGCTTTAGGTGTTGATAGCTCATGTCCCTCTTGGGCCAGCCCCCTCTGTGCCCACACTGCTTCAACATGTAACATATAGGAAAGCATTTTTTAGAGGTAACTACAACTGTTTTGTTTGGATAGGGTTGCCTTTTTTTACTTTTTAGAATTTATTATAAGTCTTTCAGTAATAAGAACAAATAAATTGAATTCTGGAAAGAGTAAAATCAGAGGGCTTCCAGTCAAGATGGCAGAAGGTAATTGCCTTCTCCCACAACCACATCAAAATTACAACTGAACTACAGAAGAACCATCATTCAAAACCGCCTGAAACCTAGCTGAACAGAACTCCTATAACTAAGGAAATAAGGAAGAAGCCATGTGAGTCTTCATTAGGAGGGGCAGAACTCAGAACCATAGTGTGACAGTTTTAAATAAGGAGGGAAATTTCCACTGCAGAGGTTCCTCCTGAGGAGCAAGGGGCCCAACCCCACACCACATTTCACCAGTCCTATCTTCCAGTCTAGGAGGAGGAGTTCCCATAACTTCTGGCTGTTAAAACCAGCATAGATGGTGATTAAATGAGACGGAGGGCTCCTGGAGTTCCAGGTATTCCACTTAAAGGGCATGTGCACACACTTAGACTCACAGCAGCTTGAAATGTGCCAGGAACATACAGGGAGGAACTAAGCTGTTCAGCAAGGGCTGGAGGAGTAGCTTTCTCCCAGACAGAAGTGTTGTCAGAGACCATATTTCCTTTGCTGAATCCTCCTATAGAGCCTGCAAGTGGGCACCATATCTGAGTCTCCATCAACCTGACTAACATTGTTCGCTCTTTCCTGGTGATTCCCTGAGACCTGCTCCACCCAAATCTCAGGCCCACTCAAGCTGTTTCCAGTGGCTTTTCTATCTAACAGCCTGAATTGGCTCATGCTGCAGACTATCCCAAAATCTCAAACAAGCAGCATCTGGTCTCAGCATGCTTTGTTCCTCTTGCTAAGTGGCCTCTAGCTTGACACTATTGGCAGCCAGCCTTGGTAGACAGCTTAGTCTCTCCTGATCCCCTCCAAGCCTAGCGTACGTAGCAGCCATCTGCAGATCGCTTTGTAGCTCATGTCCAGTGGCCCTAGGCAGGACACGGGCAGCAGCTGACCTTGTTCTGCACCTTCTGGAGGCCCCAGAGCCAGCACACCTGATGGACAGCTTCAGAACACGCCAAAACACCACCCAACCACCTCCATAAGGGACACACTCAACCATACTCAAGGTGTGGTTTCAGTGGCATCAGAGCCCCACTGAAGCAAGTCCTGCTCCATGGGGTCAGCCCCTGCACAGCAGATTCTCCATAGTGATAGTGGCCAGTCTTCATGGCAAAATGGCCTGTGGGTAAATTTTTCCCATTAACATACCAATAGCAATAAATTACAACAGGATGGTGTACACAGTTCACACGGGCACACCAGAGAGGCTGTGCCACTTCTTTAGAACACCTACTACATATGCCACTGCACCAAGACTAGGAGACATAGCAGCTCTGCCTAATACATAGGAACAAACATAGGGAAGCAGTTAAAATGAGATTAGGAAACGTATCCAAGTGAAAGAACAAAACGGCAGAAAAAGAACTAAACAAAATGGAGACAAGCAATCCACCAGATGCAGAGTTAAAAAAAAAAAAAAAACTGGTTATAAGGATGCTTAGTGATCTCAATGAGAACTTCAACAAAGAGATAAGCATAAAAATGTAGAGAGAAAATGTGAAAGAACCAGTCAGAAATGAGAATACATTATCTATAATCAGTAGAGTATGAGCAGAGGATCAAATCAGCAATTTGGAAGGTAAGCAGAAAACACCTAATCAGAACAGCAAAAAGGAGAATCCAAAAAGTGAGGACAGTATAAGGAGCCTCTGGGACAACTTCAAGCATAACAACATTCATATCGTTGAGGTGCTGAAAGGAGATGAGAGAGACCAAGGGTTTAAGAATCTGTTTCAGAAAATAATGATGGAAAATGCCCCTAATCTGATAGAGGAAAAAGACGTACAAGTCCAGGAAGTACAGAGTCCCAACCAAGATGAACCTAAATAGGCCCACACCGAGACTCATCGTAATGTAAATGCTGAAGGTTAGGCCCACTACATGCCTGTGCTCTGTGCCCAGCATGAGGGTTGTAGCTCTGATCAGTGGTGGGAAGGACAGCTGTTACAGTATGATGCAGTGCATTGCTGCTGGGCATCAGATTGTTGTTTTAGAAAGTCTAAAACCAGCTGAAAACCAAGTGCGGTCAGGTGAACTGGATAGCTACATGTATCAGACAGTGGGTCCTCATGCCATTGATTTGTATGAAGAAGCAGTGGCTCTTCCCCCTCTGCTGCCGTACCATAAGAGGAAGGAATGTGGGTACAGGACAAGTGTACACCAAGTGTGAAGGTGATGAGGCTGAATATCTCCATCAGCTTTGAAACTTCAGGAAAAAGATGTGGAAGGAATGCCGGTAGGTTCCATACTTTCTGGTTATCAGCATGTTTGAGTAGAAAAATGTGTGTAAAGGCTTAATTTTCAGCTTTTAGCTTATCTTTAGCAGAGAAACCAAAATTTGCTCTGGGAGATGACAGGCTCTAACATCATAAAAGTAGCAGCTTTGGGCTTAGACCCAGATAAGCATTTAGGAAAAATCCTACATCAAACGGAGCCTTACCTCAGAGCTTTCTAAGAAATATGGAGTCCATGGTTGTGGAGAATGTGGAAAGTTCACATTGGATTACCCTCTATTTAAGAAGAAAATAATTGGCCAAAACCGGTTTGGCTCAGTGGATAGAGCGTCGGCCTGTGGACTGAAAGGTCCCAGGTTCGATTCCGGTAAAGGGCATGTACCTTGGTTGCAGGCACATCCCCAGTGGGGAGTGTGCAAGAGGCAGCTGGTCGATGTTTCTCTCTCATCGACGTTTCTAACTCTCTATCCCTCTCAATTCCTGTGTTAAATCAATAAAATATATTTTTTTAAAAATAAGAAAATAATTGTAGATTCACCCAAAGTAGTCACACATTCATCTGATGGATTTGTACCTGTGGCTTAACAACCCTTTTTAGAATTGCACTTGGAGGACAAGGTGTTCCCATTGCCTGACAACTACAGAACATCTTAAAAAGCATTTTTGATAGTTGACTGAGCTGCCATTTTTATATGAAAAAAAATTGCATAGCATTTTCTCAATTATTATGTCCAGCCTTATTACAGTTTTTTATTCTAAAAAATATAGATCACCTGCCCTATCCAGTTTAGCTCAATAGATAGAGCATCAGCCCACAGACGAAAGGGCCCCAGGTTCAGTTCTGGTCCAAGGTACAAACCATGGTCGCAGGCTTGATCCCCAGCCCTGGTTGGGCACATGCAGGGAGGCAACCAATTGATGTGGCTCTCTCACATTGATGTCTCTCTCTCTCTCTCTCTCTCTCTCTCTCTCTCTCTCTCTCTCTCTCTCTCTGTCTCTCTCTCTCTCTCTCTCTCTCTCTCTCTCTCTCTCTCTCTCTCTCTCGTCCTCCCCTTTCCTTCCACTCTCTCTAAAAACCAATGAAAAAATATCCTTGGGTGAGGATTCCCATCAGAAAAAGTTAATAGAACCATTTTGTTGTTAATCCTCACCCAAGGATATTTTTTTCCATTGTGTTTTTAGGGAGAAACATCAGTGAGAAAGAGGCACATCGATTGGTTTCTCTTGTATGCACCTAACCCAGCTGGGGATCACCGGCATTCAAGGTACATGCCCTTGACTGGGGATCGAACCTGCTACCCTTGGATGCACGGGCCAATGCTCTCACCACAATAGAACCATTTATAATTGGTGAAATGTGAATGCCTTCTTCATTATGATGTCAAGATACTCTGGATTCACTCTGA